ATATATATATATATATATATATATATTCTATGAATGATGATTATTATTTGGATGGGTGAGAATTGATGTGGATAAATATAGATGTTGATGAATGATGAATGATGAACGATATGATGATCATGACATAATTATATAGAAGCATTTGCATGGTTGTGGTATGCATCATATTTGCATGATTATGTGGTTCTGGTGGGAAGCTGTTAGTGTTCTGGTGGGAAAACTTTTGTGTTGGTAGCTTAAGGTTAACCTTAAGTACCAACTATATATTCTCGATGATGGTGACCAAGTACCCATGCATTTAGATGTAGGTATACATCACATTGCATTACTGTGTATGTGTTTGTGAGTGTATTGATGGTGTATATATTTAAAATTAATGTATTAATTGTTGTTATTTTATATTTGTTATCATGAAGGGATGGGATGCTGAGGGTTAAATCCCATTCCTTATAGTGTGAGATTGTTCTCACTCCCTATTGTTTATTGATATGTCTTTGTATGTTTTACAGACGAGAATCCTCATTTTTTGGAGGAGTAGGAAGAGATCTTGATGGAATCATGCCTTGGAGAGCAAGAGGTGATACCTTAAAGGAACCAAGAGGAATGAGATAGACATGAAGATTTGGGTCAGTCAAGGCCCAATGGGCCCAATGGGCTTGGAAGGCCCAAGTTGAGCTTCACATGGGCCATATCTTGATGTATCCATTTTCTTATATTTTGTATATATTATATTAGTATAAGTTTTATATATTTTGGTCTTGTATTTTGGACCACATAGAGTAGCATTTTGGGCCATAGGCTTATTGGGCCTAGTTTTGGGTTTCATGGGCCTTTGGGCTTTTGGTACCCAATATTGAGCTCATTTTGATTCTTGTAATTTTTCCTTTTGATTGTATTTGGTTGGCCATTGTATTTAGGCCATTAGAATAAGATTATGAATGGAATTTTTAATTAGGCAAAGTTAGCTAAAATTAAGGTTACATTTAGGAGTAATTTGAGTTGCATTTGGTGCACATGGGCTAACCCACATGGTGCTGCACATGGACCACCCAAATCAACATCAAATTAACTCTAAATGCAACCTTAATGCACATGGAATCAGCTCTTGGACGTGCACATGGAGCTGCCAAGAAATTTGAATTTTAAATCCCATTTGAAATTCAAATTTTTGGCGCCAATTTTGCTCTTTGAGTTGGCACCATTGTGCTTGCTTCCTTAGCCTATAAATTGGACTTTTCTCTTCACATTTCAGCACTTTGAATCATTAATGAGATTTCTGAAAATTATTCAGCCAAGTCTCTCCTCAAAGTCACTCTCACCTAGCCTAGGTTCCTTTGAACTTTCTTTAGGTTTAGCACCTTTTTGAGTAATCCATTACTCACCTTGCTTTGGTGCTCCCTTCTTCTTCATTCTTCCTTTTTCTTCATGTCATCAAGGTTCTTCCTAGCTGGAATTTTCGTCCAGCAACCTTCAAGGAGAAGATCAAGTGGCCGGAGCAAGCTTAAGGTAAAGAACATTCATCCTCCTCACTTAAGTTTGCCATCAGATCTAGGTGTATGTGGAAACTCTAATGCCAATGTGATATTCTAGGGAGTAGTTAGGAATTTTGTTATATCTTTGTTTTAGTCCAATATATATATTCAAGTTGTAATTTAATTGTAATTACTCCATTAATTACTTTTCAGATGAACAAGTTTATTTTATTTATAACTTTGATGAGGATGAATTGAGATATTATGAGCTATTTATATGCATTTTATGGTATTACTCTTGGGATAAATGGGTGTCACAAATTTGACATTCATTGAGATAAGGGGTTTTAGGTAGAAGTATACCACCTTACCTTGATGGATGCTAAACTACGTATGTGAATCTCTGAGATCATCTTTATTTTCACTCCTCAATGAGAAGTAAGAAGATGAAAACCCTCAAATAAATAAATATTTTTAAATATAAATTACATTTTATATTTATATTAAATAATTTATATTGTAGTGCAATATTATTTTATTTATTAATAATTTATTTTAAAAAATACTAAATCAATCCCCATATATAAAACACAAACAATTATTTTATGTGATAATCTTTTAGGATTTTTTTTCTTGACAAGAAAGTTTTTAATTTTTTTTAAATTTTATATTTAATCTAATTTTTATTTATCATAATTATTTATGACTTAAATTTTAATATTTTTTTAAAATAAATTACCAATAAATAAAAAATAATCTTATGATATAATATAAATTATTCTTAAATTTAAAATATAA